GCAAACAAAATACCTGCAAACAAAACTCCTACATATGAACTCCGGAGTAAGCGGTAAACATAAAACTGATCAGTGAGCGAAGAGTACATTTATCAATACTCACATTGGACCAAAGCATATTCACCAAGATTTACAAAGCAAGTACAGCAAAAAAACAAAAAAAATAGCGAAGACCTTGTATGTAGATTGTGTGAAAAACATTGAGAGACTATTGTTTTCTTCGTGTCTGGCTGTCCATTTCGGACACTGACGGAATATAAAGATCAACATGATAAGATTGGACTGTATATTCATTGGAATATGTCAGTAATACAGGGTGGCACATGCTGAAAAATGGTATCAACCAGACAGAAAGCTATAAAGTTACTATTCTTTGGGACTTTAACATTTATACTGACAGACTTATATACTAGACTACAAATAAATCAATGCTTTTCATGGATATGACAGCGACATCAGATACAGATATAGCTGTTAAAGAATATAATAAAATACAATCTTGAAATTGAAAACAATGTGGCACCTTAAAACTACTTTTATGCTTATAATAATTGGAGCCGAGGGTAAAATCTCAAAAAGGTACAGACAATAACATATACAAGATCCTTGGCAATTCCTGAGATTAAAGATATTGCATTATGTAGAACTTCAGCTTTATTCAGGAGAGTCTCTTGTCAATGTAACGAAAACACTGTACATGTTAAATTTCACTTAACATCAGAATTGCCAATCATATTTCTATAAAATTTCAGTGAATGATGAGCGCAGGACTAAAAACAGAAGCAAAAGAATTTATATCTTTTGTTTGCATAGAAGCAAAGCCTAATCACCAGGAATTACTAGGAAGCCATGAGGAATATAGAGATCAACATTGTACAGTATATTCATTGGAAGATATGTCACTAATAAAGGGTGTCTCATTATTTAGACTATTGTCCTCATCTTTGTCGCCATATTTATTACAACGTTTCGGCCGTTGTACGCTCAGGCCTTCTTCAGGTGGTTGGAATGTCGAACTGAACCCTTTATTTCGCTCACTGGGGTAGACTGTTCTAATTCTATGTGCCATGTTTAATGGATGTCAGTTATCAGTTATTCCCTGTTAATTCCCCTCTCCAAATTCTCCACTGCCTTAACCAGGTATTGAATTCACACACTGAGGACACATGACACAGTGTATAAAGGCGTTGGTTAGATCCAGTGACAGGACTCAAAGAGTTGTGAGTTCAATGCCTGAGTTAATATCACGTTAACAAGTTTTGGAAGAAAGCAATGATTGTTTCCAGATAAAAGTTCTATTATTTAATCCATGGCTGGGAGCGTGGAGAAAAGATGGATTCATACTATTGCCAAGGGTATTTGCACGTAAATGAATGTAACACCTCCGATTGGAATTCGAACACGGCTCCCCGATTTCACATCTCCAGCAGCTATGAATTAGACCACCCGCACATCCTTATCATTATATAGAAAATATAAACGCCGTTACATGTTAAGTATCAGTTATACCATATATTTACTAACTCTTTAGTTAACAATAATAATGATAATAACAATAATAATGATAATAATATTAATGATAATAATAACATTCAAGAAAGGTAGAATTACAGAAACACCCTTAATAGATTTAGATTTTATCACAAAGATTAGGGAACTGGAGCATGAGGAAGCTTATAAGTACCTAGGAATTAGCGAAGGAGATGGTATACACCCCACCCCAATGAAGGGAAAAATAAGAAAAAGTGTACTACAGGCGTGTACGTCTGGTACTAAATACCGAGCTAAACTCAAAAAACAGAATATCAGCCATAAACACATTGGCTGTCCCTGTGGTGCAATACAGCTTTAATGTCCTTAACTGGACCATAGCTGAAATTAAACGGATGGACGCCAAAATGAGAAAGCGTCTCACTTGCTATCGCATGCATCATCCCAAAGCTGATGTTGATCGTCTGTATGTGCCCAGATCCGAAGGAGGCAGAGGATTAGTTCAACTAGAACTGTCCTACAAAACTACAACAATTGGCCTCCAAAGATACTTGGAAACTACAGAAGACTGGATGATGGTATGCGTCAAGGAACATGAAAGTAGTAAGCGTCTTTACTCCGTAATGAAAGAAGCCAACAAATTCAACATGGTGTTTCAAATGGGCGTAAAGATGCAATTACAGCACAATACACCGACTGAAACTGCAAAATACTTAAAAAAGATAGCAAAGACGAATGCAACCGACCAGATATAGAAGCGATGGCAAGATAAACCGCTTTATGGCCAATACTCTGCCCGTACCAAACAAGCTGACGTAGACAAAACCAGTACCCATCAGTGGGTACGTAGTGCAGGGTTGAAAGCGGAAACTGAAGGTTTTATCCTTGCTGCACAGGACCAATGCTTGCTAACTAGGAATTATCAAGCACATCTACTAAAATATTGTGTCAGCCCAAAATGCAGATTCTGTGATAAATATCCAGAAACGATTTATCATCTTGTATCAGGTTGCACGATATTGGCACCCACTGAATATAAAACTCGGCATGACAGAGTGGGCCAATATCTGCACTGGAAAATCTGCAACTTCTACGGAAAGGAAACTGAAAGAAACTGGTATGAACACCACCCAGACCCGGTTACGGAGATAGGACCTGTTACAATTCTATGGGACTACACAATACACACTGACAGAACAATCAAAGCCAACCACCATTGTTATTAGAGACAACAAACAAAAAAAAGTGCTTCCTTATTGATATGGCAGTCCCTGCAGACTGCAATGTATCTTTGAAGATATTCAAAAAGCTGTCAATTACAAGGACCTTGAAATAGAAATGTCGAAAATGTGGCATATGGGAACATCAACAATCCCTGTTGTAGTTGGAGCCCTAGGACTGCTTGGAAAAGATTGCAGTAGACTAATTGAAGGGATTCCCGGAAGTCCATGCCTCAAGGAGATACAAAAAATTGTTCTGACAAGTACAGCCTACACTTTACGAAGGGCTTTATCTATGTAATTTCTTTCTTTTTTTTTTTATCAGTGGAAAGTGTCATGCTGCCATTTCTAACCTTAGGTCCCTGGGCGGGACCCGGAAAGAAATGTGTAAACGCCAGAAATCAAAGAAAATAAAAATAACAGCAATAATAATAATAATGATAATAATAATGATGATAATGATGATGATAATAATAATAATAATAATAATAATAATAATGATAATAATATTAACAATAATGATGGTGATGATAATAATAATAATAATAATAATAATAATAATAATAATATTTCGTGCAATATAGTTTCAATGTTCTTAAATGGACCATGGCTGACATTAAGCGAATGGATGTTAAAACGAGAAAGATTCTCACTTGCTACCGAATACATCAACAATTTTATGGGACTTTACAATACACCGAACAATCAAAAAGGCATCGTGATCAAAGACAATAAAAAAAGTATGTGTTTTCTTATTGACATAGAAGAGTTCCTGTAGAGTGTGTTGTTTTGAAAATCTTCAAAAAACTATAAAAATACAAGGATATTGACGTGGAAATCTCAAAAATGAGACACGTGATGACATCAATAATTTCATTTGTGATTGAGGCTCTGGATTTGGTTGGAAAAGGTCCTGATAAACTCATTGAAGGAATCTCTGGCAGTACATGCCTTGAAGAAATATAGAAAATATATTTTCACAAGCACAGATCACACCTTACGAAGGGCTTTACCTATGTAAAATGTGCGTGTTTTAGTTAGGTTTTTGTTTTTTGTTTTTACACAAATGTCCAGTAGAAAATGCCATTTCTGATCTTAGGTAAGAACCAGGAAGGAAATGATTAAGAAATCAAAGAAAAATATAATAATAATGGCGACAACAATGTACTGTGTAAATTTCCAGTCAAGGTAGAAGAATAAAAGCTAATAAGTTGGATATACTTGTCAAAGATTTACTGGAAAAGAGTGTGCTTCTTCATTGAAGTAATAATCATTTGCGGTAATATTCATTTGAAGCAATAATCGTTTGCGGTAATAATAATTTTTAGTAATAATCACTGATGATGCGAATATTTCAATCAAATTGTTCAACAAGTAAATACATGAAATTTGAAATTGACAACTCAAAATTCAAATCTCAAAGGTAAAAAAAATCCTGATAATGGTGCACTTGGAACGATACCAAAATAAATATGAAAAATTATATTTCAAATATTCACAGAACCCTTAACATTTGCATGCACTTTTTCATAGATTCACAGAACTCAAACCATTTCGCAATTAATTCTTTTTCCTATTTTGAATGTTCCTCTGTGGATATATCTCATGGACTGGGCGCTACAGAATCACAAAATAAGTAACATAAATCACTTTCAACAGCATTTACAACTAAAATGGATATCATATGTAAGTCAAAGAAAGAATAATGACCTAGTCAAGATGCTGACATTGCACACTACATTGAACAAAAGTCAAGGAAGGAAACCCCCATTAATACGGGAAAGAACATTAACAGCTACTGGACCTAAAAAACTTTTATCCCTGAAAAATTATCTTAAGAGAAAGATTTTAAAAATTCAAAATTGACACTGGCTGCTCGGTCAATTAATGCTGTATATTTCCTTATAAGGAAACGGCGAACATTACCATTACCAACTTGAACAAAATATTGCAGAAAAAACAATAATAAATATAAATGCATGTTATTGTTTAAAGAAGTAAGAGGGTACAAATGAATAGATTTGAAATTGACAAGTTTTCCATTTCACTGTAGCAGACGTTAAACACATGCGGGTCTTATCATCTCAACTTTTCTTTCAGCGTCCCTTATATGTCTTTTAGATCTTTACTCCTGATCAAACAGGAATAGTACCTTAATCCTGAGGTATTTTCATAGCGTCAAGTACGCCCTAACTAACTAATGAATGAAAGAGCAAGAATAAGTATAATAGGATCATTCCCCGTCTATGAGATGAGGAAATTTCCTTGACCTGGCAGGTACTAATTCGGTCAAAGATTTGTGGCTATTTTAGCCATTAAATATCGCCAACGCACTGGCGATGTAGGCAAGCCGCTGTGCTGAACTCCACCAGTCGCAGGTTTTGCCATGTAGATAGGATGCTGTGCTGGCCTCCACCTGTCGCTGCTCTTGCAATGTGGGCAAGCCGCTGTGCAGGCCTTCACCCGTCGTAGGTTTTGGAATGTGGGCAAGCCGCTGTGCTGGACTCCACCCGACGCAGGTTTTGCAATGTGGACAAGCCGCAGTGCTGGGCTCCACCGATTGCAGGTCTTGTAATGTGGGAAAGCCGCTGTGCAGGCCTCCACCCGTCGGAGGTTTTGGAATGTGGGCAAGCCGCAGTGCTGGACTCCGCCCGACGCAGGTTTTGCAATGTGGACAAGCCGCTGAGCTGGGCTCCACCGATCGCAGGTTTTTATAATGTGGGTAGGCCGCTGTGCATGCCTCCACCCGTCGGAAGTTTTGGAATGTGGGCAAGCCGCTGTGCTGGGCTCCACTCGACGCAGGTTTCGCAATGTGGACAAGCCGCTGTGCAGGCCTCCACCCTTTGGAGGTTTTGCAATGTGGGCAAGCCGCTGTGCTGTGCTCCAACCGACGCAGGTTTTGCAATGTGGGCAAGCCGCTGTGCTGGGCTCCACCGATCGAAGGTTTTTTATTAATGTGGGTAGGCCGCTGTGCAGGCCTCCACCCGTCGGAGGTTTTGCAATGTGGGCAAGCCGCTCTGCTGGGCTCCACCGACGCAGGTTTTGCAATGTTGAAAAAAGCCGCTGTGCTGGGCCCACCGATCGCAGGTTTTGTAATGTGGGTAGGCCGCTGTGCAGGCCTCCACCCGTCGGAGGTTTTGCAATGTGGGCAAGCCGCTGTGCTGGGCTCCACCGGACGCATGTTTTGTAATGTGAAAAAGCCGCTGCGCTGGGCTCCACCGATCGCAGGTTTTGTAATGTGGGTAGGCCGCTGTGCAGGCCTCCGTCCGTCGGAGGTTTTGGAATGTGGGCAAGCCGCTGTGCTGGATCCACCCGACGCAGGTTTTGCAATGTGGGCAAGCCGCTGTGCTGGGCTCCACCGATCGCAGGTTTTGTAATGTGGGTAGGCCGCTGTGCAGGCCTCCACCCTTTGGAGGTTTTGCAATGTGGGCAAGCCGCTGTGCTGTGCTCCACCGATCGCAGGTTTTGTAATGTGGGTAGGCCGCTGTGCAGGCCTCCACCCTTTGGAGGTTTTGCAATGTGGGCAAGCCGCTGTGCTGGGCTCCACCGATCGCAGGTTTTGTAATGGGGTAGGCCGCTGTGCAGGCCTCCACCCTTTGAGGTTTTTGCAATGTGGGCAAGCCCATGTGCTGTGCTCCACCGATCGCAGGTTTTGTAATGTGGGTAGGCCGCTGTGCAGGCCTCCACCCGTCGGAGGTTTTGCAATGTGGGCAAGCCGCTGTGCTGGGCTCCACTCGACGCTGGTTTCGCAATGTGGACAAGCCGCTGTGCAGGCCTCCACCCTTTGGAGGTTTTGCAATGTGGGCAAGCCGCTGTGCTGGGCTCCACCGATCGCAGGTTTTGTAATGTGGGTAGGCCGCTGTGCAGGCCTCCACCCGTCGGAGGTTTTTGCAATGTGGGCAAGCCGCTGTGCTGGGCTCCACCGGACGCATGTTTTGTAATGTGAAAAAAAGCCGCTGCGCTGGGCTCCACCGATCGCAGGTTTTGTAATGTGGGTAGGCCGCTGTGCAGGCCTCCGTCCGTCGGAGGTTTTTGGAATGTGGGCAAGCCGCTGTGCTGGATCCACCGACGCAGGTTTTGCAATGTGGGCAAGCCGCTGTGCTGGGCTCCACCGATCGCAGGTTTTGTAATGTGGGTAGCCGCTGTGCAGGCCTCCACCCTTTGGAGGTTTTGCAATGTGGGCAAGCCGCTGTGCTGTGCTCCACCGATCGCAGGTTTTGCAATGTTGAAAAGCCGCTGTGCTGTGCTCCACCGATCGCAGGTTTTGTAATGTGGGTAGGCCGCTGTGCAGGCCTCCACCCGTCGGAGGTTTTGCAATGTGGGCAAGCCGCTGTCCTGGGCTCCACCCGACGCAGGTTTTGCAATGTGGGCAAGCCGCTGTGCTGGGCTCCACCGATCGCAGGTCTTGTAATGTGGGTAGGCCGCTGTGCAGGCCTCCACCCGTCGGAGGTTTTGCAATGTGGGCAAGCCGCTGTGCTGGGCTCCACCCGACGCAGGTTTTGCAATGTTGAAAAGCCGCTGTGCTGTGCTCCACCGATCGCAGGTTTTGTAATGTGGGTAGGCCGCTGTGCAGGCCTCCACCCGTCGGAGGTTTTTGCAATGTGGGCAAGCCGCTGTGCTGGGCTTCACCGGACGCAGGTTTTGCAATGTGGGCAAGCCGCTGTGCTGGGCTCCACCGATCGAAGGTTTTGTAATGTGGCTAGGCCGCTGTGCAGGCCTCCACCCGTCGGAGGTTTTGCAATGTGGGCAAGCCGCTGTGCTGGGCTCCACCGACGCAGGTTTTGCAATGTTGAAAAAGCCGCTGTGCTGTGCTCCACCGATCGCAGGTTTTGTAATGTGGGTAGGCCGCTGTGCAGGCCTCCACCCGTCGGAGGTTTTGCAATGTGGGCAAGCCGCTGTGCTGTGCTCCACCCGACGCAGGTTTTGCAATGTGGGCAAGCCGCTGTGCTGTGCTCCACCGATCGAAGGTTTTGTAATGTGGGTAGGCCGCTGTGCAGGCCTCCACCCGTCGGAGGTTTTGCAATGTGGGCAAGCCGCTCTGCTGGGCTCCACCCGACGCAGGTTTTGCAATGTTGAAAAGCCGCTGTGCTGGGCTCCACCGATCGCAGGTTTTGTAATGTGGGTAGGCCGCTGTGCAGGCCTCCACCCGTCGGAGGTTTTGCAATGGGGCAAGCCGCTGTGCTGGGCTCCACCGGACGCATGTTTTGTAATGTGAAAAAAGCCGCTGCGCTGGGCTCCACCGATCGCAGGTTTTGTAATGTGGGTAGGCCGCTGTGCAGGCCTCCGTCCGTCGGAGGTTTTGGAATGTGGGCAAGCCGCTGTGCTGGATCCACCGACGCAGGTTTTGCAATGTGGGCAAAGCCGCTGTGCTGGGCTCCACCGATCGCAGGTTTTTTGTAATGGGGTAGGCCGCTGTGCAGGCCTCCACCCGTCGGAGGTTTTGCAATGTGGGCAAGCCGCTGTGCTGTGCTCCACCGATCGCAGGTTTTGTAATGTGGGTAGGCCGCTGTGCAGGCCTCCACCCGTCGGAGGTTTTGCAATGTGGGCAAGCCGCTGTGCTGGGCTCCACCGATCGCAGGTTTTGTAATGTGGGTAGGCCGCTGTGCAGGCCTCCACCCTTTGAGGTTTTGCAATGTGGGCAAGCCGCTGTGCTGTGCTCCACCGATCGCAGGTTTTGTAATGTGGGTAGGCCGCTGTGCAGGCCTCCACCCGTCGGAGGTTTTTTAATGTGGGCAAGCCGCTGTGCTGTGCTCCACCGATCGCAGGTTTTTGTAATGGGGTAGGCCGCTGTGCAGGCCTCCACCCGTCGGAGGTTTTGCAATGTGGGCAAGCCGCTGTGCTGGGCTCCACCCGACGCAGGTTTTGTAATGTTGAAAAGCCGCTGTGCTGGGCTCCACCGATCGCAGGTCTTGTAATGTGGCTGAGCCGCTGTGCAGGCCTCCACCGGTCGGAGGTTTTGCAATGTGGGCAAAGCCGCTGTGCTGGGCTCCACCCGACGCAGGTTTTGCAATGTTGAAAAGCCGCTGTGCTGGGCTCCACCGATCGCAGGTCTTGTAATGTGGCTAGGCCGCTGTGCAGGCCTCCACCGGCCGGAGGTTTCGGAATGTGGGCAAGCCGCTGTGCTGGACTCCACCCGACGCAGGTTTTGCAATGTGGTCAAGCTGCTGTGCTGGGCTCCACCGATCGCAGGTTTTGTAATGTGGGTAGGCCGCTGTGCAGGCCTCTGTCCGTCGGAGGTTTTGGAATGTGGGCAAGCCGCTGTGCTGTGCTCCACCCGACGCAGGTTTTGCAATGTGGGCAAGCCGCTGTGCTGGGCTCCACCGATCGCAGGTTTTGTAATGTGGGTAGGCCGCTGTGCAGGCCTCCACCCGTCGGAGGTTTTGCAATGTGGGCAAGCCGCTGTGCTGTGCTCCACTGATCGCAGGTTTTGTAATGTGGGTAGGCCGCTGTGCGGGCCTCCACCCTTTGAGGTTTTTTGCAATGTGGGCAAGCCGCTGTGCTGGGCTCCACCGATCGCAGGTTTTGTAATGTGGGTAGGCCGCTGTGCAGGCCTCCACCCGTGTGAGGTTTTGCAATGTGGGCAAGCCGCTCTGCTGGGCTCCACCGATCGCAGGTTTTGTAATGTGGGTAGGCCGCTGTGCAGGCCTCCACCCTTTGGAGGTTTTGCAATGTGGGCAAGCCGCTGTGCTGGGCTCCACCGATCGCAGGTTTTGTAATGTGGGTAGGCCGCTGTGCAGGCCTCCACCCTTTGGAGGTTTTGCAATGTGGGCAAGCCGCTGTGCTGTGCTCCACCGATCGCAGGTTTTGTAATGTGGGTAGGCCGCTGTGCAGGCCTCCACCCGTCGGAGGTTTTGCAATGTGGGCAAGCCGCTCTGCTGGGCTCCACCGATCGCAGGTTTTGTAATGTGGGTAGGCCGCTGTGCAGGCCTCCACCCGTCGGAGGTTTTGCAATGTGGGCAAGCCGCTGTGCTGGGCTCCACCCGACGCAGGTTTTGCAATGTTGAAAAGCCGCTGTGCTGGGCTCCACCGATCGCAGGTCTTGTAATGTGGTTAGGCCGCTGTGCAGGCCTCCACCGGTCGGAGGTTTTGGAATGTGGGCAAGCCGCTGTGCTGGACTCCACCCGACGCAGGTTTTGCAATGTGGTCAAGCTGCTGTGCTGGGCTCCACCGATCGCAGGTTTTGTAATGTGGGTAGGCCGCTGTGCAGGCCTCTGTCCGTCGGAGGTTTTTTGGAATGTGGGCCAGCCGCTGTGCTGTGCTCCACCCGACGCAGGTTTTGCAATGTGGGCAAGCCGCTGTGCTGTGCTCCACCGATCGCAGGTTTTTGTAATGTGGGTAGCCGCTGTGCAGGCCTCCACCCGTCGGAGGTTTTGCAATGTGGGCAAGCCGCTGTGCTGGGCTCCACCCGACGCAGGTTTTGCAATGTTGAAAAGCCGCTGTGCTGGGCTCCACCGGTCGGAGGTTTTGGAATGTGGGCAAGCCGCTGTGCTGGACTCCACCCGACGCAGGTTTTGCAATGTGGTCAAGCTGCTGTCTGGGCTCCACCGATCGCAGTTTTTGTAATGTGGGTAGGCCGCTGTGCAGGCCTCCACCCTTTGGAGGTTTTGCAATGTGGCAAGTCGTTGTGCTGCTCTCCACCCGTGCAAGTTTTGAATTTAAAGTTATCCTTCTCTTACTCTTTGTCAACAAATGCTAGAGATTCTAGCTTGCTTTGCTACTTAACCAATAGCTTGAATTCATATATTTCCCATTGAGCGAAAATGGATGCAGTTACTTTAGCCGTAATTTGAACACGGTACGCTGATTTCACTTTTGGTGTCGATAATATCTGAAATTCAATTTACTTCCCTTATAAATAACCGATTTATTATTGTCAAGCGTGTCCTTATTATAATATTCTAATAATAATATTCCGAACATTTAAGAACAATTTTGACAACGAAATTGTTCCTATATATATGGAAAATATGAAAATGGCAACTGATATTGTTTCTATGTATATGGAAAATATGAAAATGGCAACTGATATTGTTTCTATGTATATGGAAAATATGAAAATGGCAACTGATATTGTTCCTATGTATATGGAAAATATGAAAATGGCAGCTGATATTGTTCCTATATATATGGAAAATGGCAGCTGATATTGTTTCTATATATATGGAAAATATGAAAATAGCAGCTGATATTGTTTCTATATATATGGAAAATATGAAAATGGCAGCTGATATTGTTTCTATGTATATGGAAAATATGAAAATGGCAACTGATATTGTTTCTATGTATATGGAAAATATGAAAATGGCAACTGATATTGTTCCTATATATATGGAAAATATGAAAATGGCAGCTGATATTGTTTCTATATATATGGAAAATATGAAAAATGGCAGCTGATATTGTTCCTATGTATATGGAAAATATGAAAATGGCAGCTGATATTGTTTCTATATATATGGAAAATATGAAAAATGGCAGCTGATATTGTTCCTATGTATATGGAAAATATGAAAATGGCAGCTGATATTGTTTCTATATATATGGAAAATATGAAAATGGCAGCTGATATTGTTTCTATATATATGGAAAATATGAAAATGGCAGCTGATATTGTTCCTATGTATATGGAAAATATGAAAATGGCAACTGATATTTTTCTTATGTATATAAAAAATATGAAAATGTAGAATAGGCAACTGATCTCTAAAATGAACTTTAATTTGTTGTTGACTGAGACAAGAAATGGGTTAACTTTAACACCTACAAAACAAATTGGAAAATTTTAATATTCTTAAGGAATTTCTTTTGCCTTTCATCAGAATGGCTAATGCTAACCTCTCGGAGAATGACCCATTGCATCTTTTTGGGAAAACGTTTCCCGCTGACATGAAGTGGAAATATTATATTGAATCAATTACTAGGTCTGCGGCTAAGAAAGTTGGTTCAATCTGTCGAGATAGATAATTTTTCTCCTCAGAATAAATCTTGCATATTCGACTGATATAATGGAATATACATCTGTGTCCCCCCTCACTGGAATATGATTTGCTGGTGTCCGTCATAAATACAGACGAATGTGTAGGTACGACAGAGTGTAAGTCTGTGACGACGCCCATTGGACTACGCCATTGGCTATCCTATTGGTCTATACTTATTATCTGCGACTACGACGAGTACCAGTCGATTACTGCTACCATATTCTACTTGGTTATAGTAGCCAAAACCCCTTATCTACTTCGATGAAATATATCCCTTTCCGGGACATATCATCGACAAAAGCCGACCATTCACCCATGCAGTGAATATGACTGCCCCACTAGGCCTATTACTTCTGCTATGTATTTAGAGATGTTTAATAAAATCAAAAGAAGAATCTGCAATATTATTGGTTGTCACCAGGCATCTCGGCTTCAGTAACTGTCTCACCGACGTAATGTAGCTTCCCTATGCATTTTCTATAAATATCTTATTTATAATTGTTTAGATGACCTTTCCACTTTCGTTGGTACCTCGACTTTATGAATTTAAATGCAGTACTAGATTGGCAGTTAGGTCTCATAATTTCATAGTTAGAATTACATGCTGGAGCCGTAAGTTCCATGCCTACGGTCTCTTTTCTTGCATTTCTCACCTGCGGAATTCTCGTCCGGCTTCGTACATTCCAGTCGACTTTGTGTTCAAAAATTTAAAAGAAATGCCAACCGCCATCTTCTACCATTTTAATTCCCGTCTTTCTATTGTCTCCTTACTAAATAGTTTTTCTCATAATCTTTCACCCTTAGTAACCCCCTTCGTTTTAGTGTCTTTATCCTAAATGGTTCTAAATTGTCTTTCATGGGAAATTTGAGCTTAGAGATGAGTACACATGATCTTAGTATTTGATCTAATTACGTACAATTTTCCAAAGATCTTAACATTTTTATCGCTTGTGATATTTGAAATAACCAAATAACACCTGCAAGTGTAACCTGAGACACACCGGGGTATCGTGACATCCTGATTAAAAATCTTTTGTCTATAAAATCTGCGGAGCCCGACTGTGAAAAGAACCAGTAGGGTGGCCAAACTATTCGTGATACCTGTAGGTTTCAGCGTTTCTTTTCTGTCGTTTAATGGGATTATATTATTGTTGCTAAGAACTGAACGAGAAAAGCAGTTGGAGCATGATAACGAAAAGAAAGAGAGGAAGAAATAAACTGCACGATGAATAAAGAAGAAAGAAAAAGGAAGAATATATGTAAGGCGTAAATAAGATACAAAAAGGAAGAATATATGTAAGACGTAAGTAAGACAGAAAAAGGAAGAATATATGTAAGGCATAAATCAGATAGAAAAAAGGAAGAATATATGTAAGGCGTAAAAAAGATTCAAAAAGGAAGAATATATGCAAGGCGTAAATAAGATACAAAAAGGAAGAATATATGTAAGACGTAAGTAAGACAGAAAAAGGAAGAATATATGTAAGGCATAAATCAGATAGAAAAAAGGAAGAATATATGTAAGGCGTAAAAAAGATTCAAAAAGGAAGAATATATGTAAGGCGTAAATAAGATACAAAAAGGAAGAATATATGTAAGACATAAGTAAGACAGAAAAAGGAAGAATATATGTAAGGCGTAAAAAAGATTCAAAAAGGAAGAATATATGCAAGGCGTAAATAAGATACAAAAAGGAAGAATATATGTAAGACGTAAGTAAGACAGAAAAAGGAAGAATATATGTAAGGCATAAATCAGATAGAAAAAAGGAAGAATATATGTAAGGCGTAAAAAAGATTCAAAAAGGAAGAATATATGCAAGGCGTAAATAAGATACAAAAGGAAGAATATATGTAAGACGTAAGTAAGACAGAAAAGGAAGAATATATGTAAGGCATAAATCAGATAGAAAAAGGAAGAATATATGTAAGGCGTAAAAAAGATTCAAAAAGGAAGAATATATGTAAGGCATAAATCATTTTTATTTTTTTAATTATCCGTTGTAGTTATGGAATTTACATATAGACATTTACATATAGACATTTACATATATATATATATAATCAAAATCCGTTACATATTTTATCCATAGCATGAAACTCTGAGTAACGAATTTTGATTAAGATTTTAATTGTTTTTTTGACAACGTGGTTCACTCTTTACAAGGCCCAGTGAACACTCGTTGTAGAGGGTAACGTTTACAGGCCATTTGTTTTTATAGGAGTGAAAGATACCGGTTAACCCGAGCCTTGAACAAGTTAAGACCG